TAGGATCCATTCCCAGTACCCACACGGAGTGGCTCATCACCACTCATAATTCTAGTTCCAGGAGATCTGATCACAACAGGCACCTTTTCTGATCTCCACAGGCTCCAGGCACCCAAATGTATACAAGCAGGTATTCACATATATACTTAAAATAAAAATAAAGTATTAAAAAAGATTAATCATCATTGTTGGGCAAGTGGTTCAAAGGGAAACATACTCTCTATGAAAAATGAGGAGCTGTGTTCAAATCCCCAGTAACCTAGTAAAAATTTGGGGCATGTCCATGTCTATGCCTATAACCCAACCACTATTGAAAGTGCAGGCAGGACATTTGCTGAGACTTGCTGTCTACCAGTCTAGCTCCAGGTTCAGGGAACACCCTGTATCAGGGGTATAAATGAGAGAGTGATAGAGCAAGGTACCAAATGTCCTGTCTGCTCTCCACACTTGAGCGCAGGTGAATACATGTGTGTGTATATAACACACACATGCACATGCACACAGTGACACACAACATTATCCTTCACACTGAAGATGAAGGGACTCTTGTGTAGAACTGCAAAGTGGGTCAAGGTGATACAGGTATGCCTTTACCAAGTCTCCAGCCTTACTATTAGTGGAGGTTTCCCTAAAATTGCTGTGAATTACACATCCTCTAGATGAGAACATCAATAAATGTAAGGGTTCACATAGACAGACGTGAATCTAATAGATTGTTTTGTTTGACATTAATCCTCTATCTGGTAAATAGACACCTTTCACATTTCCTCCTAGAAAAGTCACATATCAAATTATGACATACTTGCAGGTAATCTGCACCTCTCAATGTTTCTAAAACCTCCCGAGAGAGTATCATCATCTGAGAAACAAGAATTCAAAGATGAGTCTGTGAGGGACATTTCAGATTTAAACCATGATTATTAGATATCAATGGATGGCAATACAAAGAATTATGACATATATTCAAAGCAGAATATCATTAAACAACCAAATTAATTAAATCTTTTTGGAGGAAAAAGAATCAAACTGGATACCAGCATGTTAAGCAAAGTAAGCCACACTGAGCAAGGCAAGTATTCCAAGATTTCTCTCATTTTCTCAATCTAGAAGTAGAAGATGGAGCTTATTGCCACCAACATGGGGGAGGAGAGACAGAGAGAGAGACAGAGGGACAGAGAGGAGAGAGACACAGAGAGAGAGACAGAGAGACAGAGACAGAGAGACACAGAGAGAGAGACAGAGACAGGGACAGAAGAGACAGGGACAGAGACAGAGAGAGACAGACACAGAGAGAGACAGAGAGAGAGACAGACAGACAGACAGGGACAGAGACAGAAAGAGACAGAGACAGAGAGACAGAGACACAGAGAGAGACAGAGACAGAGACAGACAGGGACAGAGACAGAGAGAGACAGACAGTGACAGAGACAAACAAGGACAGAGACAGAGAAAGACAGAGACAGAGAGACAGAGACAGAGAGACAGAGACAGACAGGGACAGAGACAGAGACAGACAGGGACAGAGACAGAGACAGAGACAGAAAGGGACAGAGAGACAGAGAGAGAGACAGACAGGGATGAAGACAGACAGGGACAGAAACACAGAGAGAGAATATTGTAGATGAATGAAAAATAAATTCCCACTTGTCTCAACTCTAAAATCATAAGCCAGTATCAAAGACCAACTGCGAATTGTTTCTCTGTTGCAGTCTGACCCCAGCAGGGCCACCTTCCCCTAGGGTTTCTGACAGCCTCGGGATGTGGTTTTCACACTGTGTCTCGCACAGTAATACACAGCCATGTCCTCTGCCTTCAGGCTGTTGATCTGCAGGTAGGCAGTGCTGATGGAGGCATCCATGGAGAAGACAAAACGTCCTTTAAAGTCCTCTGCATAAGTTGGGTTTCCAGTGTCGGTGTTGATCCAGCCCATATCCTGCAGAACCTTTCCTGCTGGCTGCTTCACCCAGTTCATTGCATATTCGGTAAATGTGTACCCTGAGGCCTTGCAGGAGATCTTCACTGACTGTCCAGGCTGTTTCAGCTCAGCCCCAGACTGTTCCAGCTTGACCTGGGTATGGGCACCTATGGGGAGAAAACAAGGGAGTCAGGAGAAATGGATCTGCCTCAGTTTCCTCTGCAGCTCTGGGCTCGTGGATCTTACCTGGCATAGCTATGAGCAGGAAAAGGAAGCTCCACACCCACTCCATGTTGTGTGGGATTGCGACTCAGTGGTTCTTTAAGGCTGATGGGACAGTGCCCTTGCTGCGTATTTAGGGGAGCCGTAGGTTTCAACTTAAAGGTCCTGAGATATTTGCATACAACATAGTCCCCCTGACACCTTACTGGACTAACCTTATATAATATCCTGAGACCAACTGTCTCAGACCCATTCACCAGGGTGACTGAGTCTTTGCTCTGTGGTGTCAGATGTCTCTGTCTTCACTTTGGTGATGTCCAAATCTTGAGGCTTGGCATGTCTTGCACAATCACATCCTCTAAGAGACCCAGCCTTATGCATTCACTGATCCTTACTGAGGCCTCAGAAGTGGAGCAAGGGAACAGCATTCTCTCAAGTCAAAATGCTGACCACTCTTCAGCTGACTCTTTATGTGACTAGTCTCATTGATGGACCCTGAGGACAGATAAGAGCCACTTAGTACAATGAGCCTTCTGCAGTCATCCTTCAGCTCCACTGGTGTCTATTTTTGGGCCTTAAGATCTCTTCACATATCCAACAGTGTTCTTCCTCCATGAATCATGTAGAACTAAGTTGTGCTCTCCATTTAAAATCATCAAATGTGGTTTTATTTCAGATAAAACTAAGTAAGAAAAATATTACATCACATACTGCAATGATGAATAATTTTGGAGGCTAATGATGATAGATTATTTTTAATGTCTTTGAAAGCATTATATCGTGTCCCATTTTATTAACCTCTGATACAATCCTATTGACGTATCTAGCTTCATAACTGTTGTCAATAGTACAATGAATGATGACATTGTTTACAAAGACGTAATAGTAAAATAAATTACAGTGAAGTCATCCATTCTAAGGCTCCACACCTTAGCCTAAGTACAGCTAGTGGAAGCTCTAACATTTGACCAATAGTACAGAATAAATCTTTATTACTCAGAAAAACAGACACTCTTTTTAATGAATATTCAGATTGATAAACATTCCAGACACTGCTAAGAAAGTTTGGTCCCAGAGTTTTCAGATTCAGACATCTTCATGAAAAACTCGGAAATAAAGCCAGGCTGAGTGAGTGCAGAATAGTCCTGACTAAATTAAAGAAAAATCACGGGCTCCTACATAGTGTAATTTCTTACATTCTGATTCTCAGAGCCTTGTGATGGCTTCCTGTCCATGTCCTTGTCAGGGACAATCTCTTGGTATAGGAGACACAGTGATGTGTACTTGGAAAATGCAAGTGCAAAACTGCATTGTTTGAAGATTTCACCATCTGACTCAGAATCATGTAATCTTACCTTTTGCTATGCGTAGTAGAACACCACCAACATAGGGAAATCCATGCATCAAGCAGGATGCCTGTAATATCCATGAGCATTAACACATAGCCCTTGCTGTGCATAAATGGGCTGGTGTGGAGATGGCCCAGGGGACCCAAAAACTCTCACATGATCTAGGATGTGAACCCTTGTGCTCTCTTTGGTTAAAATTAATATGCATCAAGCATGGTGGTACAGCCTTTAATCCCTCTATTTGGGAGGAATAGGTGGCAGAACTCTGTGAGATCAAAGTCAGCCATGTCTACATAGTGATTACTGGGCCAGCTAGGGCGAAATGGAAACCCTAACTCAAGAGAAAAGTAATATGTATAGGTATATCAGTCAATTTCAAATCTTTCTAAAATGCTCTATTTCACAGAGGGAAAATACTATGTAGAAGCCTTTACAAAGATAATTTTCTGTAATTTCTGATCATCTCAATTTAGGAGATATATGTTAGTGAAAACTTTTGGGAACAGAGACAAACAACAAATGATATGTTTCAGGGAGACATTGATAATACATCAATAACTCTATAATAAAATATTCTTTGAGGAGTATGTGGAGATTCATTGTTTATTTGGATATTATATTGAGAGTATATTTTGACTATGCTCACCATAATAATTACATTCATTTTGTTCATCATGCCACTATCTTTAACATAAAGTTTTGCAAATGCACAAAGCTGACATTGCTCTCTGAAGGATCAGAGGTCCTGCCAGCTGTGGAGTGATCCTTCTCTGTTTCCATAGCCTATGATGTGAAATGTAGATAAATCTCCATTTACCAGATGATTCTTAAACAAAACTGTGTGCAGGTGACAGAGACTGGATATAGGCACACACAATGCTGATCTTGTCCCACTCACTGTAAATGAACATACATTTGTGTCTCACAATTACCATGGGAACTCTTTAAGAATAACCACAGCTTGATGAGACAAATGGTTTTCTCCATCATCCACCAAAAACCCCCATGTTGATCATTGAAAGTTTAGTGGATATTGTGACACTTCTGCGGTTTGGAAACAAATTATTATTCAATAAATATAACTTTTTTAATCCCGATAGTAATGTGCTGAGAGGAAATAAGGACCTGGAATGTGCTTCATCGGAAGGAGGGAGAAGACTTGAGAGGAATTTAAATATGAGAAAGTGAGAGGTCTCTAGAGTCATGTGGGGCAGGAGCTTCCTACACCAGAATTCAAATCATTTGGAGCCACAGAGACATCGCTAACAGGACCCTGGACACTCTCATAAAGGCTCAGAGCGCAATGCTGCATTCCAGCTTCATGTCTCCCCAAAGTGACACATGACCGGTCTCTGACTGTTGGAGAAGTGACAAATCATTTTTACGTACATATCATCATTTGGCCGCTCCATCTTACCATTAGGTCACATTGCCCATCTCATGTCCCAAAGCTCTCCTTGCACCAAAAACATAGGAAACCCTGGGCAATGAAAAGAAGGGGGTTCTTAGCCATTTCTGCATATCTGCGGATACACAGCCTGAGCGGCATCTAAGCTGCTCTGGTATTAAGAAGAGACAGAAAATACTTCCTCTCCTCAGGAAGGAGAAAAGGTTGGTCTCAGAATATGGACTGCACTGGCAAGGTAGTCCCACTACTGCAATAGTGGGAAAAATGTCATGGAAGTAACAAAAAATCTGATGAGATTTAACACCCATCCCAAGAGATGGAACCCAAACCTGCAATGACTCAGGCCCTTGTGGCTAGTGATAGGTTGTAGGCTCTAGGGTAGAACCAGCTACGAATATTTTCAAAATGTACATTGTAGTAAACCGAGTCTCAATGACTTGGTGTCACGTCCACATATTAGTGCGTTTCCCAACCCTCGTCACAGAAGCTCCATGTAGAAGAAGGCGATTTACACAGATACATACAATGAGTCAATGTGCAGGGAATGTGAGCTTCAGAAGGCTCAGTCCTAAAAGGACACGCCTCCTTCTGAAGGTCCTGTATCCCCATGGAAGAGGGGAGGGAGGACTGGGAGCAGCAGAGGAGGTAAATAACTACAGGAAAACAGTGTTTTCTTAACAAATTGGAGCACTTGCGCACGAGAACGCAAAGCAATTGTGGTATCATGGACAAGACCTACTAAATAGTTCACGCCAGACATCATGCCTTCCTAGATTGGGGAAGTAGGCATGAAGTTCCAAATTTTCCTGAGAGGCTACTGGCATTTCACAGCTTCTGGAAGAATAAGATTCGGTCTTCTTTGAGGGGATGGCACCGAGTCAGTTGATCATGCTCACCCAAGAGTTTGGGCAACACAAATTGAACCCAAGGGAATGAATAAAGTACATGAAGTTGGATAGGCATTTAGGGTGGTAGTGGTGGGTCAGGGAGGAAAATAAGTGTGGTGTAAATATAACCAAATACACTGTAAGAAGTTTTCAAATATTTAATAACAACATTTAAAGAATAAATCCATGCAGAAATATGTGCTCTCAGAAGAAAAGTGACTCAGAAGTTGATTCGGTGTCTAGAGTACACTTTCCTGAAAAGGACTACGATTTTAAAGCCTGATAAACACAGTCTCAGAAGAAAAGTGACTCAGAGGTTGATTCAGTGTCTAGAGTACACTTTCCTGAAAAGGACTACGATTTGAAGCCTGATAAACACATACTTGTCACCAGTTTGGGATATAGACCTTTACCTTAATCTAGCACACATGTCAAACACTGCCTTAAATAAGAAATATGACAGAA